TTGACAATGACTGAGCAGTGAACAGCACTGTAGTGAATAATTATGTGTGTGAACTGTTCATCTGGATGCCTCCCATAGTCTGTTGACACCATCTTCCTACTACGAGGATTGAATTAATGCCAAAAAGCCAACATCCATCCTCCTCTATCTGCCAGACTTTGGGAGTGGATGTACGTGCTGGGTCAGGTGGGAAAAGCTAGGCACAGTTTTATCATCAAGGTCTGAATAACACTGTGGCCTGTGTTGCCTCACAGCTGTGGCGCTGACCACAACATTTACATTTAAAGAAGGGAAAAACCCCAGCAGCTTCAAAAAATTGTTGTGCAAGGGTCTGTAAGGAGAATAAGCGATGTTGTTCAATAGTAGTGTTTTTGTGTTACCTAAAATTCCTAGTAATTCAACCTGATTCCCTGACTGACAGCAGGGAAGGTTTTGTTTTCCTTTGTTGGTCGCATCACTCAGCTAAGTCTTCACTAATTAACCACCCCTCAAGAATTAGCACCCAAAGCAATAAACATGGAGCTGAGTGAAACAAAGCATGTAACACAGCTGAGGAGTAGGTTTTCTTATTCTCTCAGGTGTAAGAAAGGGCAGAAAGACCCTTACAGAAAAAAATCCCATGGAGCCTGCTGGGGCAGTCTAGGTTAACTGGGTGGCCTGACCTCTGGGTAGAAACTGGCACATGCTGTGTTACAGAGCACTATTTTTCACTGCAAGATGACACTGGGAAGTAGAAAAAAAAATAGAATACTTAGATTACCTCACTGGAGCTCCACTTTGTTCTCTGAATAGTTGCTGTGGAGGCTTGTGTACTCTGTTTAGGTCTTCTTCATTATCTCCAAAATACTGTTGCTTCAGGCTCAGTTTGATGTCCAAACCAAGAGTTAAGTTCAAAATGCCTTGAAGCAGTAAGAGCTGTTGGACATTGGGCTTATGCCTTTTCCTCAGTTGTTTCATAGCTTGTGCTAATTTCAGTGATGAGTCAAATTCAGATGATGGACCAGAGCCTTCCTCCTGCCCAGTAAAGTCAGTGGCTCTGAGCTGCCTGTCAGCTGTGCGTGGGGCTGCACAGGCATGAAACGGATCATGCTCAGGATCTCTAGTTGGAAAGAGCATTACTTAGAACTGAGCCTGGATAATGTTCCATAAAAATGTTACTATCGGCATTAGCTTCAATTACACACTGTGCTTTAATATGCTACAGAATTACAATTTTCATACCGGATTAAATGTATTTGTACTCATCTAACACTAGGAGCTAAGAACTTTAGAGTGACTAGGACTTGGAGATTGGCCTGCCTGGGCTAAATTTGCACCCACTGAGAAGCTGAGATCAAATACATGAAGACCATTAGATTGCAGAAGCAGAAAGAGAGACGTCATTCAAACATTCTAGAAACAGGCATGACTAAAATGCTGATACAGAGGGCAGTAAAAGAGCCAGTTGCTGATGATTTTCAACTTATTCTGACAACCTTTCCTTCTTACATTTTCAGAGACTGAAAAACTATATTCCCCGTAATTCATTATATCAAAGCTAGAATATAGGATTGTAGCAGATTTGCTTTAGGCCATTCCTTCAATTTTAGAGAGAGTTTTGGGTTTTGCATCCTGATTTTATTGCACTGGATTTTGTCCATTTGCAATCTAATAATTACTGGCAATTGAAACCCATCAGCAAGCTAACATATCCTGCTGATCTGAGAAGCTTCTGAAATGCTGAGGTGGAAGAATATCAAAATGTCAACAGGCTGCAATTACAAGCCACTGCAATAAGCATCAGATATAATGACTTCTCTTCACCTTCCAGGATGAAATTGGCAGGTATATAATTTTGTCTTTTAACTCTGGCAAAAGGTGCTTATGGAAGGCTTATTTAGCAGTCTATTTTCTCTAGTAAAGTATGAGGTAGTGTTCTTTCCTGAAGTGCTCATGGGTTTTTTCTTACGGAAAAAGCTAGTATTGACACTGCCCTGGGTTAACAGGCGTGTCTGTGTAAAACACATACAACACTGAGAAGAACACCAGGTTGTGGTTAGTAAGTACTTCAGACAATAGCAGGAGTTCCATGAAAAGCAACAGGGATGGTCATGGTCTGTGGTGGTGTCAAGTTTAGGCAGAAGGTGTAAAGAAAAGGCCTGGTTTAGCCTGGCAAAGAAGGGAAGACGTGGCCATATTTTGACAGCTCACATTCCCTATTGGGAATAAACTTCCAACTCTAAGACTCAGTGGTCATTGGAGGAGGTTGCCTGGGGAGCCTCTCTCTTCAGGAGAGTTTAGAACAGCTCAGGCAGTTCTCAAGAATATCCAAGCCTGGATTACCCTGTTGTAACCATGGGCAGAGTTTTGAAGATTTTCTCTGCTGACACAGTATAAGGCTAGCTAGTGCCAGCTATTTTTAACTCACTATCGTTTTTTTTAAATACTTACTTTTTTTACATAGCAGTTGATAGCCTCTCCAGAAAAAAGATTACATCATGTCCTTTATAGTCCAAAACTGATCTACACAACTCCACAAACCCCAACCTTAGCCCTGTGAACAGGGTAAGTATGTAAGCCTGTTTTTCAAATACTCACTGGTTTTGTGCTGCCTGTATTTGCAGAGATTTTAAAAGCTTGTTCCTTGAAACACTCATATTCTCTTCCATGTTTTTATGTTAGAGATAAGCCAGATGACTTACATGACAGATGACTTTACACCAGAATTATACATCTCCAGGATGGTAATGCCTCCTTGTAAGACCAGCAATTTTTAAGACAGGGCTTAGGCACAAGGAATACTCTGGTATTCAATGTGGTTTATTGGCAATTACTCAATCATTGCAAATGACCTAGTGATGTAATTGGAAGTGCTTTGTCAATGACACAAGAGAACTAGTCCAAAGTGAAAGAACAATCAACCAATCAACCAACAAAACAAAAAAACCAAAAACAAACAAACAAACAAAAAAAAAACAACTCATCCAAACCTGAAATTCCTGTCCATGGATGGAAGCACCAGTCATGTTGCTCTAAATCTTCACTTCAGCTGGTTTATCCTGCTTGTTTCAGGCGGGCATAGCCACAGCACTGAATTCTTTGTTCTAGCTTCTTGTCTAGTCCTTTATACATTTTAATGAGATAGTTTCACATTCAAATACATTAGCTTATCTGAGTCTGCTTCTTATTTTGCGTCTCCTCAGAACTGTTAAGATCTGCTGGCAGACCTACTGTAGGTTTCTGAATTTCAAAGCTCCAGGATTAGTGGTGGTGTTTTAGCCTTGGCACTTGCTGTCTTCAGAATTCTGTTAGGGATATAAGAATTTGAAGCTTCAAAGCACAATGTGATTCCCTTCTTCTTCTGTAAGTTCTTATATGGTTTTCTTTCTTTGTCTCCTTCTTAGGGAGAGGTTTGCTTTTTTGCGTGGGTTTTTTTTTGTAATTTGGCTTGCCTTTTTCTGTCCAGAAACATTGCTGCTGTATTAGTGGTGACATGTGCTTTTAAAGACAATGTCAACAGATAAATATGATAACATTTTTGCTGAAAAAACAGTGACTCCACAATGCACTATTTATTCACCAAATAATTGTCTTGGTAAGTACAGGAAAGGATGAAATTACAACACAAACTAATCCTGCACTTTAGCTGTTGCATACATGACATTTTCTATGAACTCGGAGTTTTCCCTATAATGGACAAATGAATGAAAGAGTGGAGAAGAATAATCTCTCCTTGAGGATCTTTCTTTGGGGTAAAAAGAGAGAGGCAGTTTGTGCTGTAGTGTTAACAGAAAAAGTATAAAACCTGTCTCCTTCTATGAAGAACCAGCCTGCAGGGACACCTTTTTTCCCTCAGTACACCAGTGTGTATTCTCTTCACTATATAAAAAAAAAAAAACAACCCTTGAGTCTTCTTCGCTGTGCTTATACTTCACAGACTAGAAGTGATGTTTTCGAGGCTTTTAGGTAGCAACATCAGCCTAAAGAAGATTTGCCATTTCATCCCTATCCTAACCCAAATTCACACACAAATCTGCAAGTTAAAGTTCCAGCTTGATCTGGCTTGCCTGGCAGAAATAGGTTGTTCGACACTAAAGCTACAAACACTGTAGAGATGAGTTATCTACCAATTACAGCAGCTTATCAACTGCTAATCCAATTAGCCTGCATGGCTGCAGCGTGGCACGGCTCTGAGTCCTCTCGGCTCAGGGCAGGCAGTAATTCATGTGTGCTGCTGTGGCTGACACTTGCAGGGAAGACAAGCTCTAAAGTTTCTCCTGGAGGAGGAGAGGTAAATCACTAAATATGCCCCGCGGAATTCAGCTGCTATGATCATTGGTGCAGGCAGAGTGTAATCACGTTGTATTGACAGCCCCTAAAGATCCATCTTCCTCTGAAGGTGCCTGGAGCGAGCCCGAGCAGAGCATAGCTAGAGGTGCTAATGGCTCCTGCTGGCACGGGCTGGGCACTGCCCTGCACTCACTGCTGGGGTTCACTCCGTGTCCTTGGAGACACCCCTCTGCACAGAGCGTGGCAGTTTGCTTACCCAGAGCCAGGACTCTCAGCACACCTAAGAACTTCAGGTAACAGGTTTCGTGGAGGAGAAAGGCAGAGGCTGTGTAAGTGATCTTCTAACAGGAAACTTGCAAATACAGTTTCTATATAAACCTTTGACCTTAAACAATTTTTTAATTTGTGTTTGATCCCTTCAATAATCTCATCAATCCACTTTTTAAAATGTTGTGCTTCCTTGGACACAGGTTTAGGAAGCCATGTTTCATCTCACTATGTTATCACAGCTTTATAAACACCTAAATACTGGAAAACCACTGACAAAAATCTTACAGGCTTCTACCCAAAAATCCACAAAGCAAATCCACTTATCACAATAAATGGGATCTCAAATATACTTGGCTAAAATGGATATAAATTCCTTAAATGCATTAAAACATAAAGTGAATTATTAGATGCGTGGTTTGTGTACTGGTATCAATAATCATTTTATGTTTTCTGTTTTGCAGGAGGTGAAGTCACCAAGCCCAGGTTTGCTCAGTATTTCCATGGCAGCCTGGCCAGTCTCACTATCCGGCCAGGCAAAATTGAGAGTCAGAAAGTGATTTCCTGTTTGCAGGCCTGCAAGGAAGGTCTGGATATTAATTCTCTTGAGAGTCTTGGCCAAGGAATAAAGGTGAGGGATGAACTGACATCATCTTTGATAAAAATTTAGAGCTGATTTATGAAGTGGAGAGCCCAAGGTAGAGTACACACAGTACAAATGTACTCCCAGAAGCAATGTAATTTCCTATAAAGTCATGCAAAGAAAAAGCAGAACAGTAGAAGAGCTGTGACACTGCAAAGAAAAATGTTTCCATTATTGCAAAGCTAAATGCTCAGGAAGTAAGGTGCTGCTGCTATTTCAGAGTCCATAGGAATTGCCAGATCATGTTCTCATGTTTATTTTGGTAGTTTTAAAGAAACAGACATGATTCCAAAAATGCATTGAATTTTGATTTCAAGTAACTTTAAAGCAATGGAAAAAAAATGGAAAATGTTAAGTGGAATATCTTCCATCTATAGGCAACTCTGAAAGAAGTCCCAGTGCAATAGTATTGAAAAATTCAGAGTGTGTTTCCAGAGGAGAATGTTAAGGGAGGTGAAAATTGGCCAATAAAGAAACCCAAATTCAATAAATTAAAATTTTACATTTGCATATAAATTATTATCCATCTTCATTATGCATATGACTGTCTTTACTGATATAGTGACACTTTTTCTAAGGTAAAAGTGTAAACACTTTATAACTTGCACTGCTGGTACTTGCAACTTACTGATGTAAACACACCATCAAGCTGTTCCTGGCACACAGATACCCTCTTCCAAAGGAGCTGAGCTTCAGATTCAGACCAGGAAGCCTTTGCCTGCAGACTGTGCAGCACGTGAATCTGTGCAGGTGGTTTGTTAGTGGGGTGCTTTTCAGTGGGGAGGAGGATGGTGCTGTAACATGACCTAGAGCAGGCAGCAGAAGCAACTTGTACTACATTTTATTAGCTAAACCTTTTCATGGTACAAGGTGGGAGGCTGACCTGAAACACACACAAACGTCTGCTTAGGCAACAGGTTGCAGTCGTGTAGTGTAACTGATACCTTTGCTGAAAACAAGGGTAAAAATGAAAATGGAAAGTGCAATGGCAAGGCAAGGAGGGATTTTGCCAGCTCTGGCTTTCACACATGAACAAAACACCCCAAAGATTTTTTTTTTCTTCATCCTACCAAGCAGACGAGTATAGGAAACTCCTACATTGACTGCAACAGAGCATTCAGAGGCTAAGAACAATTTTTAAAAGTTAGCTCATCATTAATTAGTTGCAGAACTGCATTAAAGACAACAATAACGAGGTGAAAGAATATTCTTCCAAAGGCCTTTTGCTTGTTTTGGAGAAGCAAAGAGGAAATAATTAAACACTTTTTCACTTAGAATTTTGCTTTAGAGCATTTAGAACTCAGATACTGCAGGACCAGGAAAAGAATGCCAGAGCCACCTGTACAGAACTCTCAACACAATAAAAGGTTGTCCCTGAAATTCAGTGGACAAATACTACATGAAATACTTTCATGTTTTATTGAGACAAAATCCACAAGTTAAATCCAGAATGATGATTTCTGCAGGCACTCGGGTGTTTCTATTCTAAATTTTCTAGAAGCTGCAAATTAGAATCCTATGTTGTTGCTTCTCCCAGCAAAATGACATGAGTAATGGCTAATTTTAAAAGACAAAACATACAAAAAGCTGGTGGGATTTTTCTGGAATGCAAGTGTATATGGCTAGCAGTAAGTTCTTTCTGGGATTTTATGTGAATTAGAGCAGTGTACTCTTGGCCCATGGTGCTTGAAAGCATATTAATTCCTCCCCTATCATTACACTCTGAAACCTGACAATATTTGAGTAGTCTTGTTTCATGGGCTTGCAAAAAAATTCCTGTTATACCACCCACTGCTGCTCCAGCATGGGCGATTGGCTTCCTTACTGTACTAGCAGGGTGGTAGGGGAAATGAAGACAAGAGATTGTTTTCTGCCTTCTGTCTTTCACCCAACTTCAAAATATTTTCATTTTCTGACATACAGATGAGGCATGGTGAGATTTTTAAAATTACTGGTTTCATTTTTACTTCCTCAGCCAGCTCAACAGTCAGTGCAACAGCAGGAGGCAAAAATGAAAGGAGTACTCAGAGAGATTCTAGTAGGGTTTCTTACTGGGAAAGACCAAAAGAAGCTCAGATAAAAGCAAAGCAGTTGGCACCTGACCTTGAACAGAAGATTAATAAAGAGAAAAGGATTCTGGTGTCAAAAATAAACACACCTGACCTCAGACGAGGACGTGTGACAGTTGCACAGGTGATAGGTGCTGTGTGGCTGTTTACATGGTGCTTGGCAGATTTGATGTTGGCAGCCTGATGCTGGAAGGTGTTTCTGCTGGACACTTGGGACTCATGAAGCTTCACCCTTTAGCCACCTAAAAAAGAGCAGTGCAGCTGCAATACAGTTTCTGACATGGTAGTGTTGGGCTTTGTTGTTTTGTTTTGGTTTTTTTTTTTGTCTGCAGCCTAATTTTCAGCTATCTGTAACAGCTCTCAGAAACACTGCCTAAACTGCTGCTATTTTTAGCCTTTTTTAATGAGAAAGACAAAAATGGCTCAGATTAGGGCTTTCTCCAGTCCCTTTGGCAGCATTCCAGCTGTTCTGGCAGCTGAGCTATTAAGTTAACTAGCTAGCTAGAGGAGTCTCCTTTTGCTAATTTTATTCTCTACCATTGCTAGCTTACAGAAAGGAAAAAGGTGCTTATGCAGGCTGTGACTCCTGTTAGCCCTCCCCTCCGTTAAAAAATACCCTTCAGAGCTGTGACCTTCCTGCACAAGCTTTACACCCAGTCCTCATGTTCTGTCCAACTGAGAACCCTGTGCTTCATTCTGTCCTTCACAGTCTATTTGCTCTTTTGCTTTTTAACCTTTCTCATTGTAAGTGGAGGCAACCATTGTCTGTATACAATAGAACATCTTCATAAAATCAATACCCAGCTTTGGGGAGAGATTGCATGTGAAAGACGGGTACAAAAAACAGTGGGGTACAAAAACAAGGGGTTTTATCTGGCTTTATCTGCAATGCAGATAGCTTGCTGAGCCAATTAACAGATTTTTTAAAGATGGCATCAGGATGAATTATGATGAAGGGAAACCCACTTATTTGCTATGTAAATATAGTAGCAAAGTTTCTTGGTCAGCAAGGCTGTTTTGTGTTCAGTCCACTGGACTAGAGAAGGATCAGGGCTACCAGAATAGCCACAGACTTTGCCAGGTTTGTTGGCTCAAATGAGCAGCTGGCTGTGCGCAAGCAGCAGCTCTGTCTTAAATCATGACACCCTTATTGATCACAAGACTGAGAAAGGAGAATCCCCTTTATTGTGTCTGACATTAATGAAGATGCAGGAGGCAAATGTTATAATTGTTTTGTTCAGTCATGTTGAAATATATGTTGGAAAGATAGCCCAGGGTAAAACCAAACAGAAAGTGGGGGGAATATATTTCTGCATGCTGCTCTGGATTAAGCCAATATTTTAATATGGGGGATGTATTTAACCTAAAAAAGCCCTACAAAATAATGGTGACAGTGAGTTAAGGTTTTGAACTCTACAGCTACAGAAGTAGTATCAGTGACGTTGGTAAGGCTGGGCAAAGTACAGCAAATCAGGAAACATGTACATGTTTTAGGAATGAACATGTGGATTCAGCCAACAATTGCTACAAAGATTTTTTTTTTCTTAAATCATTAAGTTTTAAACCTACATCTGTGTAACATTCCTTTTAAAATGTCGTTTTTAATTCTCTGTACCTGGTACCTTAAATTCTAATTATACATTTCCCCTAGTATCACTTCAACCCTTCCCAGTCAGTCCTGGTCGTGGAGGGAGATGACATTGAGAATATAAATCAAGCTCTCCGAAAGGTCTCATATATCAACTCCAGACAGTTCCCTACTGCAGGTGTACGGCGTCTCAAAGTCTCATCTAAAGTCCAGTAAGTTTTCCTTTAGCTGAACTGATTAGATAGGAATCTTTTTAATGAATTACTTTTTTCTTTGAACATGTAAAACAATGAATTTTGACTAAATTGCATGGCTCCATCATACTTTTATGTTAGTGAGCGTAAAGGATGAATTTCATTTACTTTTATGCTGATTTACCTTGTGGTTTTCTTTTGATATTGTCCTTTTAAGAAACTTTTCTTCTTAATGTAATTTACTTGCATTCTGTTTATAGTTCAGAGCATGCAGTCTGGACTGAACAGTACTTGCATTTATTGCATTCTTATTTTAGTGTTCATTTAAAAAAGTTATAGTTTCTGCTGAGACAGCTAGAGCCATGACTTTTTAAAGCAGGCTTATTGCATCCAGCAGATGACATAGCTGCAAGAACAGCATTTGTAGCTATGCTTGAAATTATCTGTCTGTCTGTACCGCTACATGGCTGTCATCAGTGAAGTGCTGGTGCTGGGTGTTAAACAGAAATCCGTGTCCTGTTTTCACACAACGCCGCTGGCAGGGCCTGCACAGTAATGTCTCCAGCTCTGCGTTATCAAAGAGCCATCTGCCACTCCTCAGCTCCCCGGGGTGCCTCTCACTTACAGCAGATCACATGCCGCAGCAAAAGCTCATCTTCAGAGTCAAAATAAACAGCAGTTCTACAAACGCTCGTCTGTGGCACGTGTGGGTCTCACCGAGCACCAGCTTTGGTCTGGTGCTGTGGGCCGAGCACACCGAGTGCCTGGAGAGCCTCTGCTGGTGTGCTGTCACTGGAGCTGTCCCATCTGCCTGCCCCAGGGCTGGCCCCAGCCTGCTGCCAGCATGAAGTGAGACAGAGCTTGTCAGGAAACCCACTTCCAGAGCACAGCGCTGATTCGGATGGCAATGCTGATATAGGGCCCTCTGTCCCCAGTAGATACTGGGGGTGCCAGAGGGAATTCATGAAGGCTCCAGTTTCAATGGATCATTAGGGCTTTTTATGCACATATGACATGATAACCATATTATATCCATTAGATATCACTTTGAGAATTTAATGTGATGTTTACTAGTTAGTTGTTGTCATCTAAATCATTCTCTTTAACTGATCACTACTTCGTTAAACATCAAAATACTATTTTCATACTGACCTTACTGAAGACTGAGTTTGTCATGAGTCTGCTTGCAGAGCTGTCCCTACATGATTTCAGTTGTTGTGTTTGTGGGAGGGGATGAGAGGGGCAGAGCTGTCGCTGTCACTGTCACTGCTGCCTTGTGTACAGGTGGTACAGACACGTACACTTATGTCTGGCAGTGTCAGAGATCAGTCTGAGACAATGGAAAAGGCCGAGAGCCATCAGGCGGGGCTTGGGCAGTGTGAGTGCCACACACTCTCATGTGCAATGTGTTCCATGCAGTTAATGAATAATATATTTTTCAGATGTTTTGGTGAAGATGTCTGCATTAGTATCCCAGATATAGATGCGTATGTAATGGTGTTTCAGGCCAATGAGCCCAAGATTACAATAAGTGGGATGGACCACTTTGCTAGACCAGCTGCACAGTTTGAAAGTGAAAGAGGCGTTATTTTGTTACCTGACATCAGGATTGTCAGCACAGTCACTAAAATGGAGCATCCCGTGGATGTAAAAGAACACGACAGAGGTTTGTGGATTGCTTTCAAACATTATTATATATTGTGTAATGTGGCCCCTCACATGTTTCAAAGGAGAGTGCAAACAAGTAACACAAAGGCAGTCGCTTCACCCAGATTGTTAGGGAGCCCTAGTGCTGTATGGCCCTCAATAAAAACTTGAAAAATGTGTTAAATACTGATAGACCAGAATGTGCTTCAAAAAAAGCAGCTTTTCCATTTAGTGTCTGGCCTACTTCAGAATAATGGCTTTCCACTCTTCTTTACATATTCCACTGACTAACATATTTCCATTAGAATCTCTATTTGTAGCAGAATTTTGTTAATTGTACTGATAAAGTGGAAAGCAGTAGTTTACTAATAGTTGAAGTTTTTGACTGGTTTTGTTTCCAGCTCTGCTACTGACTGGTGAGTGATACTTAGAAAGTAATCTTCTGCCTCAGTTTCCCACCTATATAATAATTTTCAAAGTTTTTTTTTCAATTTTGCACTTTATTCTAATGCTGAACAATGTGTGTGCTATGATTTGACACTATGCGAATGTTCAAAAACATAAATGAGGTTTAAAATAATTGTCTATAAAGGGATCTTCTTTTTGGATGTTTGTGTGCAAGGTAAATGAAAAGCCCAGTAATCTCAGCAATCATTGCAAACTATTTGTTGGACTAGAATAAGCAGCAACTAGAGGTACATCCCTTGAAAAGATAAAATTGCTAATGATGTGCAAGTGTAGGAGCATGGATTCCCTGAAGCCCTGCGCTGTATTAATGCTGCTTATCCCTTGCCTGAAACTGCATCTGTCCTCTAAAGGCTGTATCGTATCATAATATCAACTGCAGACAATTACAGTGTGTAAAAAAATTAATTCCTGCATAATGATCATTATCTACCACTTAAAACAAAATACATGGATGATGCTCCATGTCCCTAAATGTTTTGACACCTTCAAAACTGTTCTGTGAATCAAGACTACTGCCCTCCAGTTAAGTTCATAAATTTCACCTATCCCGATTTGTCACAATACAATTATTGACATAATTACTGTTGTAGCACCTTGTAACCTGAAAAGCCTGAGTCTCACCTTGAACAGGAACACAGCATTTCTTAAAGTACATTTTAACTCCCTGAAAGTCAGGCACCTCCTAATGTGCCATCTCGTGTTTGTTTTCACTAAGAGTAGTTAAAATGGTTAGATAATAATTGGCTTTGGAATAATTGTGTTTTCAAGAGATTATTGAATTCTGAGTCTCAGTTCCTGCATTACAAGCTTGAATCACTATTTCCCTCAGCCCCGATATTATCTGACAAGTCAAAGACAGCCATAAATCTTGGCATCTATCTACCTATAGCTATTTTTCCACTGACTGGGAATTTACCTAACCTGATCACCCTGACTGTAAGCAGAGCTGCACATGGCAAGGCTGAGAAGGCTGATTTAATCACTGTGTGTGCCACAGTCCCGGGAACAGTTAGGTCAGGCAGTTGCCACAGGCAGCAGTATGACTGTGGCTCTGAGACCTTATTTACCTGCAGAGGGTCCCCGAAATGCCAACAGGCTGCTGCTCGTGCTGCCTCTGCAGAGAAATCAGCCAGCAGGTGAAACTGCTGCCCCTACCCACCTCTCCTGTTTGCCCACTGACAGCCAGAGCAGCAAAGCTGAGCAGTTCAGGCTTCTCCCTCGCTCTGCAGCCCAGCTCGGGCCTGTCTCTCAGCTTCCCATTAAATACTCCAGCTCACCAGCCTTAGGAATAGTCGGATTTGCCTACCCTGCAAATCTGAGTTGGCTCTGTATTTGTGGGTAAGTTAGAGCTCAGGTACTCAAATTCACCATACCCAGAGTTTGTAAACTAGGGCATAAGACTTTTCTGTCTGTGACCTTCCTTCCCCTACACCCTCTACAGTGAAATCTGCAGAATGGGCACTAAGTTCCGAGCTTGCAGTCGCGGTGTCTGCGGTGTCTGTATTTTTGGGTAAGTTAGAGCTCAGGTACTCCATACCCAGAGTTTGTAAACTAGGGCATAAGACTTTTCTGTCTGTGACCTTCCTTCCCCTACACCCTCTACAGTGAAATGTGCAGAATGGGCACTAAGTTCCGAGCTTGCAGTCGCGGTGTCTGCGGTGCTCGGGGGAGCTGCTGAAGCAGCCCTGCCAGACAGTCTGCTCTGAGGTGACCAGGGTATTAAAATATTAAATCAATATGCTACTCTTTTTCCAGCGTACGCACTGAAGGATAGTCAATGTACAACTCAATTTCTCCAAGTCACACAACACAGGATCTTGCCATTTATGCTAATGCCATATTCATAGATAGATGGCCATGTTCTTTGTAATGCAAATTCCTTATGGGCCACAGAGTACCTGAGAGAATCAGCCAAGCATAGATATATTGGACATGTATTTTTCCATTTTGGTTTTCCTTGAAAAAAAAGAATGAATGTGTGATACCAACCTGGTATCAATACAGCATTGACAACCAGAATTGTTTACATGAATTTATTTCCAGGATCAAATTTCAGTTTTCTACTTCCAGTGCTGTTCTTGAATGCCTTTTATTAGAGAGCAATATATTGTCTATCTATCTCACTAGGTCTTCATCATCAAACCACCTGAACAGTCAGGACAGTTCTCTTTTGATTTGCTTCATGTATGCTGTATTTTATATTGGCATAAAACAATTCAGCCATCTTTGCAAAAATTGAAAGCCCTGATGCAAAGCCTATTAAATATCTGAGCTTTTCTGTGATCATTTATCTTAGTTTCTTTCTTCTTTTTTTCATGGTATATGCTGCGTGTTCACAGCCAATAAACCAGTGGTATTAGAGGAAATGCTCCACAACTTGGATTTCTGTGATATTTTGGTCATTGGTGCAGAACTAGATCCTGAACAAGAATGTTTAGAACTAGATCGTGTGGAGCTTCAAGGAAAACATCTGGATGCCACAAATTCCACAGCAGGATATTCAGTCTATGGTATGTTCATGGACTTTGCTTTCCCTTATTTCTTCTCACCAACAATTTTATTATTGGAATGAAAAGACTAATGTGAAAGAAATTAGTCAAGAGGTCTGTGATGTACTAGCCATAAAATATTCCAAGGGAGTCATTTCTTGATCTCTACGTTTATCCTTTGGAATACAGCACAACATTAACTTGATCTCAGTATCTCTCCTGCTACTCTCCAAATAAGGAAAAATAGCAACACTGCTTTTTTCAAACATGGGGGGGTTCTTGTGGACCATCACAGTGGAATGCGGGAATGAGAGATTCTTATAACTCACTGACCAAGTCTTTGCTGTTGTATTTGTTCCTCTCCACTATTCATTTTCAAAAACTATTCTCACATAACTTAATGAGAATTAGCCAGAGGCTTGAACAGGGAGTATTTGATACATTGCCATTTTCAGGCCATTCTTGCCAAATTTTGTACTTTCTGTGAACACTTAACTTCTCCTGTAGAGAGCAGAGCATTTGTTACATGGCATCTCCTCGAGGTTATTTCTACTCTACCCCCATTTCAGGTGTGGACAGCATGCACAGCTACGAGCAGGTCCTCCGTCAGATTCGATATCGTAACTGGTACACTTCTGCCACCTCCGACAGGAAGTTCAGAGTCAAGTGCTCGGAGCTAAATGGACGTTACACGAGCAATGAATTCAACTTGGAGGTAAGCAATCATTGCAGTCACGATTTCTCCTCCAGCACTGAGGCTGAGCACTAGCCTTACCTTCAGCGACATTAAGTTTTCTTTAAAATATGCAAATGGCTGATACTTTCTGGTAACTATAATCAAATAAAGGAAAAATTCTAAGTTCCATTCAAATAGGAAGGTGACTCACCCTGTGGGCATTCCTCAGTGTGGGGGTCTCTATTCTGCTGCATATGTATGAGATGAACTCCACTAACACAGAGAATTACTCCTGTTGAAAGAGAATGGAGGCTCAGGTCATCATCGTTGTTTTTCCCTGACATAAAATCTCCTGCAGGTCTTTTTGTAATGTACGGAGCCAGCAGGCTTGGGATATAGAGCTCTTTTCAGTATCTCATCCCTTATTTTTCTCTTGTGCCAGGTTAATATCCTACACAGCTCCAACTCCAACTTCATGGGCCATGTAAATCATATGATAGTGCAACCACAGTTTCTCCAGCCTGTCCACCACCCGGAGGGAACCATAAGTGCTGTTCACAACTCAGGTATGTGACGACTTTATAGACACTGCACATAATGGTTCTGGCATGTTGGTATTTCCCTTGTGATTCAGCCTGGTCAACAAATAGAGTCCTGAAATCTATAGTTACAGCTTGTGAAACCTCACAGGGATCATTGCACAGGTATGAAAGAAGGTAACATTGAATTCTCTTCTTTCTGAGGCAGAGGTGCTTTGCAACGGAATACTGCTATCCTTTTCTAAAGCCTTCATTAGAGGTTGTGTGCTCTGACCCACATGGTTAAGAAGTTGTCTTGTATCTAGTATCCAGTGGTATGCAGGGTAATATTTATGCTCAGTTTGTCTTTGTACATCTATATATCCATGGTATATGAATTTTCTGCCCACCCTTTCCTGAGCAAAAGGAAGAAAAGCTTCTGTTTTTCTTATGCATAATTACTTCAATGCTTCTGTTTGCTGTTGTCCAGACCTCAGGCTGGAGCTCTCTAGAAAGAAGATAGGTCCAGCTAGCCATGGGCAAGGGGCATTAGTACATATTAAATACAGAATTTAGATTGACCTTTTAGACTATGTGAATTTAAATATATACCCAAATCTGAAAACTATTCAGTGAAGTTAAACCCAGGGCAGCTGTTCAAATGCTGGATTCTGAAATCCTTTTAGCTGAATGATACGTGTGTAAAGAAGCAAAGCTGATGTAAAGTCTATGTAGTTATAATCAGTTCTATACAGTTATGCTTAGAAAATTACTGTATTTTTCTGTATAATTGTACAGACTTTTTAGTAAAAGGAAACTGAATTTTTACAAATTAACTATTGCAAAAGGAACTTTTTCAAAACAAACTCTTTCTTCTTTAATATTGTTCAGGATTCAGAGTTCCAATCTTACAGGCAGGGCACAGCAATAACGTGGGGTACAGAACTACTATAGCTCCTGGACCTGCAGCACCTAGGTAGTGAAGGTACACAGAAAATGGCAGCACTTCTCTACTATCCTAATCATGGAACTGCTAATGGAAGAGTAGTTCAGAGAGATTTCTTCCTGTGACTAGGTGGAGGCAGAGGCTTCTGTGAGTGCAACAGAACAGCAAGGAAAATGTCTTGAATCCTCAAGAGTCTCCCAGGAAGGTTGTAACACAGGCAAATAGAGTGTGTTATTTCTTGGTGACTGAGATTTTAAATGATAGTACAAATGTTTGAAACCTTTGAAAATACAAGCTTTGAGCTATACTTTTTCTCACAAGTGAGGTTGTGCCTCAGCTGTAATCAGAAGGGGTGCAAGTAAGAACCTGAACCCTGTTGCAAAAATGCTTGTTTTGAAACAAATTGATTCTGCACTGATTGACTACTTGTCTTGTGTAATGAAGTGGCTCAAAGAGCAACTGTTAGGCATACTCACTTTTTAGTTGTGATTTATAATACTCCTTATAAGGCAGCTGTAAACATCATTCATGTATGCTCTGCCTTAGTAGGTGGGCACTTGTCAACATTTTCTGTAGGCCCAGGCACATGGCTGATTCTCAGTCCAAAGAATGAGGTGATGTGGAGAAAAAACAGGCAATATATTTAATGTTTTGTAGGCAGTTTGTTCCACAAATATAACCCCGTTCCCTTTTGTTCCAGTTGTTCCAAGCGTGGCTACTGTTGTTATCATCATCTGTGTGAGCATACTCATCTTCATCGTCACCTTGGGGGTCTACCGAATTCGGGCGGCCCATCAGCACAGCTCTGCAGACAGTGAAGGGAGCAAAGACAATGAGATGGACTGGGACGATTCTGCTCTGACTATCACTGTCAACCCCATGGAGGTACGTGGCTGAGGCACCAGGAGATGTGCCTGAGCTGTAGCTTCCTCAGCAGTGAGATTTAAGCCTCTTTCAGAGTACGTTTCTTTAGGCTGGGCAGAAGAGTTGTATGTATTCAGCACCCCCTCCCAGCCTTCCGCTCTGCATGCCATGATAATATGCAATTAAGTGCATAATATTTATTGTTGTGTGTAATTACTAACCAGGGTGGCGAGCAGTTCTTGGGTACAACACCACTTCCACCCCATCAGTATTTGCATCCTAGGTAGACAAGTTACTTTGGGTTTAAGTTTTTAATATAAACAGTAACACACTAAAAGGAGATGGAATGATCAGCAGTTTGAAGAAACTAACATTGAAGGGTTAAATTTTGGCAGCTTGACTAACAAAGATATTGCTTATTGGCATGCCATTCTTGTTACAGCAGATTTTGAATATTTGCTACTGAACTGCAACATATTTGATGCCTAATAGTCACTTAATGATGGAAAGCAGGTTTTCCCAGCACGTTAGTATTTCTAAATGTGGAGTGAATGCTCACAAGCACACAGCCACTGGCTGGCAAGGCAGCACTTTTCTTCCACTGTCTCTCTTTCGTTCTTTAAATGTACTGTAGAAATATGAAAAGCCTCAGCAGACAGAGGAGGAGAGTGAGGAAGAAGACATAGAAGATGAAGAGGAAGACACAACCAGTGCTGAATCAGATGAAAGTGAAGAGGAGGAGGAGGAGGAAGACGAGGAGGAGGAAGAAGTGGTTATCCAAAAGGGAGACAAACAGAATGCCACCAGGCAAGAGCAGTTGGAGTGGGATGATTCAACACTCCCGTACTAACAGCCCTCCAGCCATATTGCTCTTTTGTAACAACCAATACAATGTTTTTTCAGAGCCTATGAAATCATTGACAGGATTTGAACTTCTGCTTGCCTATAACTGTTTTGCCTATAATGATCTTGTTGTAGTAATTGATGGTGAATAGAAACAACCCTTTTCTTACAAAGCCCAGAGAAAACATGGTACAAGCTTACTGGCATCACCAGTAATAAAGTAATCTAGAACTTGATCTGGTAGCAAGCGTAGTTCTCAACTTCCTGTGTCTGTACCGCCGATGTGTGACAAAAGTCCTGTCGCTCAATCCATAGAGGGTTTTGCCTTTGCTATTTCTTTTCATACAGGAGAGATTTCAGCTTGTTATGAAGAATTACTTGTGTGGGTCAAAATAACAGTTGCCATTTGACTTCACACTCTTAGAGGTGTCAACTATAATCCACCTTCAAATTGAGGCAGAGTTTTAGTGCTACAGGTGACAGAGACTGAATTCCACTTGTCGTCTCATCCTGCTTTCTTGGATGTTAACTGTCTTTCTACAAGGGAGTATCTAGGACTTGTCACGGGATGCATGTGTAGAAGTGGACAGTGTATTTTTCAGGCATGCTGTCAGAATCCTCAAGACAGGGATTTTATCCACCCCACCCACAGAAATTTAAGAGAGTTTTAAAAAAACAGCAACCACAGGGGGCTGCTGAAGGTTGCAAAGGAAAAATTGTTCTGTGTCCACAGATTGAGTAATATGATCTTATGCAAACAGTAAATTCTAATGGGATTGATTTACTGAACACCTGTAGAGCTGCCCATTAGTTATGGATTGAGCAATTTGCAGCAAATCGATGCTTTAAACCGTTTGTCTTGTAAAATCATTAGCCTGCTGCGGTAACTTTCTGAGGTAGTGGAAAATAAGTGACCCCATTATTCCATAGCTATATATGGTTGGGATTTAAACAAAGATTTTACACGAGGAAAATATTCCCTATTGCTCTAGTGAATGCCAGCTGGAATTCCTGTCTGACTGTATTCTGTAAAACATTACACCCTATTTCTTCTGTACCCTTCCCCACCTTTGAGTGGCACAAGAGAAAGAGACAATACACACAACTGCCAGCTCTCTTTTGTGCTCATCATTCTCCCTTATTTCTTCTTCCTGAAGCCATTAATGTCGAAAAAAAAAAGGTTTTATAAAATAGAACAAGAACAAATAAAACCTACCTGGAACCAAAAGAAGTGAAAACAAAACCTAAACTCTTAAAAGGTTGAAAGAGTATTTTAGTTTGTTACGGTAACACAGCATATTTTTCTTAAACACTGTTTAAAAAGGAAAAGTAAAAAAAAAAGCAAACCTACGTACAATGTGTTGCTCTGTCTGCGTGGTGTGTTTTTTGTCCCCTTTCCTTAATTCTCGTTGCATCTTCAAATGCTTTGCATACCAAATGGTGCAGCACTTGCTAGGATAACTGTTCTAATGGCATGGAAGTGAATGCTGCCTAGTGGCTTGTCTTGTTTTTTTCTGAGTGCTTCCTTTTCTTTACAGCTTCATCACTGGCTTTTGCTTTTGTAATTTGCTGTTTCAGACAAGCTGCTTCCTTTTCTCCTCTCTCCCAGAGAAACAAGCAGTTGGTCTTGCCTTCCTGAGCAAGGACCATTCAGGACCTTCCTGAGCACCCATAAGTGGTAGTTGATACTGCAAAGAGTAACTTGAGCCATCTTGAGGGTATCCATCTCCCTCAGTACTAAATTATTAGCAGCTCCTGGACCTCTTGGAATATAAAGAATATATTGTGGGTTTGGGGGTTCCCTTCATTCCAGTTCCTGCATCTGATGGTTGCAGGGAAAGACTGACATGAACTGGATCTTGTAGTTTAATAACTAGAAAGTAAATGAAAAAAACCTTTAAATTAATCTTAAATTTAGACATCTTCATGGTCTTTTTTGTTGTGCCAACTTGATTGTTGACATGTGAGCATTAAGACTGGCAATATGCAAGTTTTCTTATGTGAGCAGTCCTGGTTTATTTTTATTCTGGTCTCTCACACATATTAAATTTACAAGAATATTTGCAGAATCAACCCCACATAAATATAATTTATTTGCAGGAATAAAGATTGTAAAACTGGACAACATTTCTGCTTATTAAATGATTAATTTTAAAATTTCCAAATATGTTGAAGACAAATGTTATGTTAGATCATTTTTCTAGTATCCTGGTAGCCTAAATAATTTCCTAGTGTTAATTTTTGTTAGTGACATGGAGCAGGCTCTTCATGATGCTTGTTATCAGCACATATCAGCAAAGCTCTCTTCTCAGAAAAAAAAAAATATTTAAAATTGAAAGTAGATATTTAAAAGTCATTTTCAATTTTAAAACTGGACTTAAATTATTTTTAGAGTTTCTGTTATCCCTGACTATCATTATTAGTGTTGTTATCACAGCAAAAATTCGGGCAACTTGAGAACAGCAATTTACAACCTTATTGACAGCCTTTGATTCTTTCTGTGTTCATGCCTCCATCAGTGTGTTTCTCCATTTAATAGATATTTATCTTTTTGTTACCAGGAGCAAATCTTTTCAGGTCATGCTGGTACATTACACGTGAAGCAGACAAAGTATTTTCTCTACTGTAAATAAACCTACATTTTTAAACCTAAGCAAAGTACTACAGGCATGTGTGTTATCACTAGAATTTGGTTTGCGACAAGATATTCAGCAAACTAAAATGTATCACTGTATTTCTTTTAGATTACTCATTTTTCATTCAAATAAACAGAAAAATCCTTTTCACAACATGTTAGTGAGAACGAGATGCTTCTTCATAAGTGTATTTGTATAGAAGCAGGCAGCAATGATTTCATGAGCAAAAGCCTCTTAATAGAATAACATAGATAAATATCACTTATTCTGGAATAATTTTAACACTTTTTCCTCCCCTTCATGAATTATGTTTTTACATAAATTGCTTGATTAAAACCAGAACATAAATATATATATACATACATAAACACACACAATTTTTCCCCCCTCCCTACTCAAAAAGAAAAGATCTCTTGTTTCCCATCTGAAAAAAAAAAAGGGGGTTTTATGCTGCAAACTCTGAAATGGCAACAGCAGCATCTGGCACTTTTAGTTGTAATGTTTATCCCTGGCCCAGTTGCAAGATTGAGCTACGAAGACACACAAATAAAGGTGGCACACAAATAAAGGTGTCTTTTTTATAGTACCAATCAAGATGTGCATCCCAAAAAAACATCTCTGAAGAGGTATTCATAATAAGTGACATCAGGGATCTGTGATGCCAACAGTCTAAAATGACATCACATCAATGATTGCCTTTCAAATTTTGAAATCCTAATTTAAGGCTGGGAAAAGCTGCAAAACCTACAAATTCAAGATGCTGATACACTGTGTTAGCTGAATGACTATAATGGCCTAAGCTGCTTTTTGTGATCAATAGCTCACGTTTCTTTTTTTTGCTTCTACTCCCTCCACAGGTATTTTATCTTTGTAAGTAAACCTTAAAGGGCACAGTTGTTGAGATTAATCTCAATATTTACTGCACTGGCTGACAGCAGTTCAAATTAGAAATAGATGTGCAGGGTTCATAATATCTTTTGTAGTAATTAAAAGACAAGACTGTTATTTGTCCATTCAAACACACAACAATATCCTGCACTGGTGGCTGGCTGCTTTTTGGGCTGTTGATGATCTCTTTGCCAAGGGCTAATGGGAGGGTGCAGGTTTTTTCACCTTTCTGGTGTGTTGTGGTGCTGGGCTTGGTGAGAGCACTGTCCCATCTTTACTTCATTCAGGAAGAAAATAGCAATCAGAAAGAGTCAGAGGGTTATAAAGTTCCCTTAGAAGGGATGAAATCCACTGTCTCCATTGCAGGAGTTGTCCCTGCCTGACCTGAGGTGGAAGATAATGCCCTGGGACATGAGTAGCTCCAGGTTAAGAACAGGTCAGAGGTAATACAGTCACTTTACTGTGGCAATCCCCTCTGAGCCCTGCACCTAGTTTGTGTCTCAGCTGTTTCTTTCCCTGAGCTGTAACCTGAGAGGCAGCTCTAATGCTTTTACCTGGTGAGGATCCCAGCAGGCTAGGACATGCTTCCTCTTCTGGAATTTTTGGTGCCAGCCTGTGCGCCACCCTTTAAACTCCACCACCAGTTGTGCTTAGCAGGAGAGGAGAATGAAAGCCTTGACTGAGGTGACAGCAGGTAAAGGTCTGGTGGGATGGATCCATGGAGCCGCTCCTGGTAGCCTGGAATATACATTATAAAAACAAAATTAAAAATGTTTGCAAAAAGCGTATGGATACTTAGGGTAGGAATGGAAATTAAACTGTGAGGACATCTCCAGGACTTTACAAAAGTCTCCTCTTCCATTAATTCACACACACTGACTAGACTGAAGATCCCAATACCAGCATATCCCCACCAGTTTTGTGTGCTTATTGACAACAACAATAAACCCCTCATAGCAAAATACAATTTCCATATAAACAGTTTCCAGGAATCTTGACAAAGGAGCCAAGGCTTAAATATTTTGGTGTCCACCATTATGACTAGTATCCTAATTTCTTTTTTTTTTTTGGCAAATTTGCTTCACCTCTGTGGAGTGTGGTTGTGTCCAGGATGCACACTGTATTCTCTTTTCTGCACTACTCTTAAACAAAGCACTGATAAATTAACAGGAAGAGAACAGCTCATTTGGCAGAAAAATAAAGGCTTATAAATAGCTTATAACAAAGTTGTTTTAAATCTACTTGTTTCTTGATGAAAGCCTGACACTGAAAAAAAATAATTTCATGAAATAAAATTTTGGACAAATACTGACAGTTGCCAGACTGAAAAATTAAAGAGATTTGTGCAGAATTTTGATACATTATTTTGCATATCTATATATAATAGTTTGTATACATACAAATTTTAAGTAATATTGTATGTATATGTGTATAAAAAAAAAATATATTATCTAGACTGAAAATACAACTGTTGTTTCATCCA